AGTCAGGAAGAAACAAATCTCAATAATATTGAAGTTATGGTAGTTGTACAAATTAGTACGGCTATAGATGAGGGGCAGAATTGTTGGAAGCCAAGGATAATGGTCAATGAGTAAAAGAGATTGCAGAGCAATTAGTAGCAGTAACGAAAAAAGTGAAAGGCAGGAACTTGGAACAAAGTGGGACATCCAGGAGGTGGTACTGAAAGCTACTTGATGATTTCTCCTAGCCTTATGTCCCAAGCTGCTTCCCAGGACCCAGCTCAGACACATTTCCTGAAAATATCATTTGAAGAGTTGGTCCAAAGGCAACTGAAATTGCTGGGTTTGGACAGCTGCATCAATTTCTTGATGACAGTGTCAACATATAATCTTAATGTGTATACATTCTCAAGTGCATTCTCAAGTTCATCCTATTGTGAATTTAGCACAAGAGCAAATGAATTTACAGGATAGGCAAACAACTCAGCCTTAGAATGTAAGGCTTAGCAATAGACCACAAAGCAATTCACAGAACAGTTAAGGAAAAAACATGAGAGACCATATAGTGGTGAATGGTTCACATATGATTCCAAATAAACATGCTGCTTACAGCAAAGGAGCAGAGAGAAAGAGCACTATGGAAGGAAAGGCTGTTGTTCCACCTACCCTGAAGGGTTTGTGGCTGCTGGTAGTGGTGGGGTGAAGGAAGTGGAATTTTATCCTGGCTGAAGAACTCTTTCTTAGTATGAGAAACAGAAATGAGAATAGCATTTTGTGCCCCAAGAAATCTCCAGCAAGTGAGAACCTGAGGGCTCCTTGATACCTGGATTGCCAGAAGTGTCTCTCTAGAACTGTGTAAGGTAAAAGAAGAGTAGAAGTGCTGAAGGAAACGCGAAGGAAGAAGGAAACATTCTAAAGCTCAAGGGAGAGAGGAGAGTGAAACACTCTAACCAAAGATAAGGTGGGAAAAGATGGGCAAGTGTATACATGTTCTGAAAGGTCATAAATGAGCTTTGTTTTGTCGTGATGTGTTCTTTGCTAGACAAAGGTGCAATTCAGGACCACGGTTTTTATTTAGTGTAAACCATTGCAGATCCACTTAAAACAGACACAAGTCTGACATTCTTGTTTTCTGCTCCTAAACGTTTTCTGTGGTGACTAAATGGACTCTTGTGGTGCAGGCTACAAATTCTGAACTAAAATCTACCATAGTTCTTAAAAAGAAAGCAATCACATTATTGTCTATGGAACACTTAAGGTGTTTCTATTTAGCATCTTCAGGATTGCATATTTGTTGACAGTGTTTCAAAGGTGTTAAAGAAGAAAGTGATTGGTGTAATTCCCCTATAAAAAAAGCCAATAGCTTCAATTATAAATGCAGATGGAAGAAACTGCAATAAATTATAGATATTAAACATGGAAAAAGATCACTTAGGCTGTTCAGTCTTTCTGCATGTAGGGAGCATTCTTTACAGGGAAGGAACCGCACAAAATCCATAACAGATGCCATGCCAGTGATGCACAAAGCAGCAACCATTTAGCAAAATTGTGCTTTTCTTCCTTAATGTAGGGAAGCAAAACTTGTGGGTTCCCAGTAACTTTTCCCAGTCACAGTTGTAAATGCATAAGGGATTTGCCAAGATACATCCTTTAAAGATACGAAAGATAAGCAGATATTCTTGTGACTGGACAAAAGGGTGGCTTGCACTTAAATAGCTGTGATTCATTGTAAGACTAGCTGCTGTCCTATTGTTTACTCAAATGCATAGATGACTTCCCAATTTGTGCATGAATTACAAGCATTTGGGTTTATTTCCATACATTTTCAAATGGGAGAAAATTTGTAGTAGATCTAGTTGGTACAAATGAGCATGCTAACCTAGTGCTTTGGATTTTGAATAGGATTTTTCCACAAATGCTTTTGATTCAGTACGTGAACTGAGAGCAGGCAATGTTTCTGTGCTATTTGTGCTCCCTCTACTGTTTTTTTGGAAGCATGGAACAGGAGAATACAGCTGGCTAACGTACTCGGCTGCATGAAAAGCGGACATGATGGAAGAATAGACTAAAGGTCAAAAAGATTGAGCGGAAAACTGAATCTCTAAGCTGGGATCTTAATTCATCTTCCTGACTGCATTATTTGTAATGTAGTCTTTAATTATCTCACCTACAATTTTCAACAGAACTTTGGTTTTCTGAGATGAGTCACTGTTACTTAGTGTACTTGATCTGTTGAGGAAGTTAAAAGCCACTTAAGAAATGCAGTGGTACTCTGGAAATAGAGAGAAAGGTTTAAGAGCAGGCAACCTCAGTCTTAGTGTCCCCTGTCTTCCCAGTCTTTGAATGTTTTGTAACTTTACTGATAAGGTTACAAGGAACATAAAGGATAAAAATAGTATTTAATGAAACCCAAATGTTATATTACAGGCAGTCCATACGGCATTCAAATATTAAAAATACAATTTTAAAAAAATAAAATTATGAAACATAAATATGTAAACTGATAACAAGTTGCATGTGTGTACATACACACACATATAGTTATTTTGTTTTAAATGAGATAATGGGGATATAGTAGCATATTCTGAATCTCTCCGAGTTTATGTTGAGCCACAAGATGAATGTTAATATGCACTAAAAACGGGGTGAGAAACTGCAGTGAGTGGATACTGTTGATCTTGTTAAAAAGAATCTTGGCAAAAGTGCTGTCAGGAAAGTAAGCCTCATTTTCATTAATTACATCAAATTGCTGGAATGTTGATATGGAAAACTTCCATTATTGCCCAGAAAACAATAACATCCTTATTTTCTGGCTAGAAAAAAAAATGTAATAGTTTTATGTAGTTGTTCATATTGCTTGATGAAATTGTTTTAATCTGTTGTCAAACTAAAAGCTAAAATTAAGCAGTAACCATGTAATAACGATCTGAGTTACTTGTATAGTCAGTAAGAAGACTAATATTTAATCAAGATTATTATATTTGAGAAAAGTTTATAAACAAAATATAAAATTAAAATGGTGACAAAATTACCCAAAAATACTGGATTTTTCACTTCTTTTAGAATGTACTGCTCTACAGAATGTGATAAAGGGTCTTACACAAACCATTGAAAACCAGTGTAACGTGAAAGGTAAAAGCAAAAATGTTCTTTTATATATTGTACTGTACTGTGATTTAGAGTGAGCAGGTATTTAAATTTTTTGTTTATATAGACTGTTTTTTTCAAAGCAAGAAACTCACTGGCAGCCAAATGGAAAGGAAAAAAAATGTATCAAAAATACCCTGTGCAGATTTTGGTGGTCTATATGCTTAATAAATGTCTATTGCTATTAACCTACTTAGAATCCACATGTAAAAAGTTCTGTCTCAGTGAGGTTTTTTTAATCAATAGCTGGGCTTTAAATTTATTTCAACATAGCACAGGCGATTTTACAAAGTGAGAAAGTATCATTCAACTGTTGGACAGTAGTCTGTTAAAGTATTTATGATAGTTTTTATCACTTTGTTAAACCAAAGGGTCTTAATCCTCTGTAATGTTACTAAAATTTAGCTGTTATCCATAAATACTTGACAATTACTCATTGCTATTTTAATATAAAATATATAAATGTTTGTTATATCTTTATACCACAGTTTAGCTGTACACCATGTAGTTAATTTTACACCCATTGTGTCTTCAAGGCATATTAGTATAAATATTAATAAACCTCTAAAAATTTGAAGTATGTGGCTGCTTTTAATACTCAAAGTGACTTTTAATAATCAAAAAAAGCATTATCTGTTTTTGAGATACTACTTACTAGCATTTGGGAAACAGGTACTTTTGGGAAACCATTGTAGCCATGATAATAATTTTTTATTTTCTGAGCCAAAGAACTCTGCATCTAGATTTTCCTGAATGCGTCAGTTATGAGAAGGCTAAAGACAGTTCAAAGTAGTACTACCAGGCAAATATTATGATTAAACTATGAATTATCTTGTTAAAAACATGGAGACTGAGATTATGTAGTTCTGTAAATGATGATTATCATGTCTACAAAAAAGTTTCTTAAAGTTCAGACAAGTCAAAAAATGAAAGTAATTTCTTTATTCTGCTTTCATGCTGGTAATACTGTCAAAATGTACTTTTTAGTGTATCATATAGTTTTTTATTTACGTAGATGAAAATGATAGACTGAAGGGTACCATTCACATCTTGGAAGAGAAATTAAAGGCTTGTGAACAGGTACATCACACATGATCATTCTTTAGGTAGAGGAATAATATTTTATCTCTATTGTAGTAGTTCATATAGCTTTATGTTCTTGGGTTTGCTACTGATACCATTATTGTTGCACTTTTCCTAACGTTTGTCATGTGTAAAAAGAGAAGGGTTGTTCTCATGACATCAATATGAGAATGTGTTACAGGGACTAAGAGGTCAAAACAACTAAATGCTGAGAACTCTGGCTCAATCTAAGATACACTTTGGTTTTTTAGCTGTATTTAGCTTTAAATTCAACTTTACATTCTAAAATCTAATCCCATGCATTAAAATACATTTTTGTATGGAAATAAGGTTTTGATATTCACAATGCCTGCTGTACTGCCAGAGAATCAAGAACTGTCTGAATTTTGTCCATAGTTTCTTTGGGAGTAAATGCTACAAAGATAATAGGTCTCTGTGTCTCATAATAAATTCCATTTACCATCCTTCTACTTTTTATCTGTGCCATTCATTTCTGGGAAGGAGGTAACACCAGCAGGGCTAGTCACAAGATGTGTTAGTTCTCTGTGCTAAGATTGCACATCTGTTACCTGTATAGGACTAGGAGTCTCACTGCTGGTTTTCTTTGCCTGTGTTCGTACTAACTATGAGTTAAAATTAAATTTTTATACCAATAGAGCTGTTATCATGATAGTTTGAGAATAAAATAAGTAATGCCTTCTGAAAGACATGAAGAAACTGTGCTGCTATACATTATATACATGTATGGGCATGGTGGAACTTCCTAGTGTTGTTCTGAAGGCGCTTACTTGACTATGTCCATATATACTATTACCACCAACCAGTAATTGCCTTTGTGAGGGCCTCCGAGCATGGCTCTGGTGAGGGGCCGCCTACCTTGTCAGAAGGCTCTGACAAGAGCTTTGGAGTAAGCACATCTACATTGGCAGCCAGAGCCAATTCCTTGATAATTCTGGAGTACTTACTGGAGCAAACGTGTAACAGGCATGCTCAGTCTGTTAGTTGAGTATCAGTGCCACCAGCACCACTACTGCTAATAACACTGACGTTTCTACTGCTGCCAGTATGAAGTTGTGGAAAAATTTGTATCAGCGATGTTAACAAAATTCATACTTTAAACCATTTTTGTTATACAATCTCACAGTCAAAAATCCACAAAAGTAAAACTGCAGCACTGTGTTGGATCCTGGACTGGGGAAAGGAATATTACCTCTCCATTTACCTGTTCTCCTAAAAAGTACAATTTGTAATTTTATATTAACTGATAGCTGTAATACAATGAAAACTGCTACATTTTTCATCTGTGGACTTCAGCTAGATTATGTAAGAAGTAATTGGGCATTTTGAATTTACTAGTTCGAGGATAAAACAAGTGCTGAATTATAGAGTACTGTACATTTTGGCATGGATGTTGTGCTTTGCAGAAGGCTAAGAGCACAGACACCTCGAGATTTTTATGAAGCTTTTTACGTTTGCAGGAATATAAAGATCAGATTGAGAAACTTATGATAGAAATTAAAAACAAAGAGGAAGACCACAAATCAGAAATAACACAGTTGAATTGCAATATAAGAAAAAAATGTAAGTGCTCCGAAGACTGAATGCTATAGTATTGGGTAAATCATGTTGTAACCTGTAGGAGCTATACTTCATGTAGGATAAGTAGAAGTTCCACTTCTTAGTGGAAGCATATGAAAGCTAGAAGTGGGCAGTGTTTAACTGAATTTTCTCTTGCTCAAGAGAGTAGACAGTGGCAATGAGGCAGTAGTACAGCAACAGAGGATGAGCAGAAATTCCCAAACAGGCACAACAGACACTGGGAACTTGGACCTAAAAATCTGAAAGAATGAAATTTGGGTTAAATGTTGACTGGAAAATTGCTTTGAACTATAAGCTAGACTGCTGTTAGAGTGTTCCAGCTATGCTCAGGAAAGTAGGACATTATTTTCACAAATAAATAATACTGCAGTGAGAAAAAACTGATTTCAATATTAATTTTTTTCATTACTGGCATAGCCTTGAAGAGTAGGGTTTTTTGGTCATTCACTTAGCTGAAAAAAGCCAGACAAACTCTTTGCAAAATATGATGCTTCTTTAAAGAGACTCCATCTTACTGAGATGGGACAGGATGGTTTTCACATAGTTTTAAAGTACGTTTTTTGCTTGAATGAAATTGTTTTGCCATGAAATACTGACCTGCTGTTCAAAAAAGTTTTAATATCTGGGAAATGATGTTATTTTTCCATCTAAACATCTTCTATAACCATCGTATTTGGTGTTACTGTGTTACTAGTTGAAATAAAAGAAGTGGAGTGTAGAGAACAGAGAGAGAAAAAAGAACTGGAAATACTAGAGCTAACTAGACAGCTGAAAATTCAAAATGAAGAGAAGCAGAATGAAATAATTAAACTGCAGATAGAGGTATGCATTACAAAGCTGAGTTAAAGATCAGTTGGGCATTGGGTAAACTTAGAAGAGACTGTGTAGGCAAAAATGTTAATTAGTACTTAACAAAGCAATATGATTGGAAACTTAAAATTAACGATTGTCTTTACAAAGATCAGTGGCATGTGCTCCCTTCCGTAATGCTACCTGAGTCGCTTCTGCTCAGGAATTGAGTTCTACCCACTGTATAGGGAGGCTGAAGTTTGCTGTGTTCTTGTTTTAAATTAAATTATTTTGAAAATTTTCCTAGTTTTTGAGCTATAAAAAAAAAAAATTAAACAATGTTTTCTGCGTATTTTTATTCTTTTTATTTTCTGAATGCTGGGAAGATATATTTTTTATAAACTTCCAAGAGGTAAAGTCTTCTAATCCTGCAGAGATTGAGTCACAGAATTCAACATGTATGTCATGGCTCAGGTTTTAAGCCACTCTCATTACAGAAAAAATTAAGGAAATACTTCAAACATTTCATATATTAAAAAAGAAATAAAGTGTGAAAGGGTTCAACCTGAGTTATCCTTGGAACATCAGGGAAAGGTGATGGTTTCAGAGGCTTTTAGCTTCCTCTGCATTTTCTCTTGCAGACATGAGGCTGTGGAGCCTTCAAAATTTATTTCAGTAGTCTTGTTAGTCTAAATGTATTTGGATTATAATATTTGTACTACTTACTTTTTGCAATATTTTGAAACTTTTTTTTAAGAAACATAGCTTGTAATTGCATCCTTTTTTAAATAAACTTAAGTAGCTTCATTGTCCTAGGATTAAATAGTACATAAGCTTGCTATTGCTATATTTGTATCAGGTACAAAATCCATTTTAAAAAAAAGTGAAAATTATACTTGTGTAATTGAACATACCTTTTCTCCTGTTGGGTTCTTAACGTTTTGTCTTTTCCTGATTCTTTCAGTTCAATGCTAAATTAGCAAGAGTTCAGAATAAAACAACAAAATCATTTTCAGATGCTTCTGTCTTGCCACAAAGTATCTATCGAAGGGTATGTGCTTTAATAGCCTGTAGTCTGCAGATACTAAAGACTGTTACAGCGCAGTTCCCTGTGTTTGTTCTCCAACAAAACTTTGGGGGTGGGGGAGTGGGGAAGGTGGAGTTTCATGCATTAGGGGTCCATCTTACTCTCCCACACATCCCTCCCACCTCTAGGCAACTGATTTCACGTTTCTCTGCACTGATGTTGATATGGCTGGGGTTCAACAACAGAAGCCCACATGTGAAGTGGTTTTAGTACAGAATGGTTAACCGGGGAACTTAAGATAGAACTGACATAAATGACTGTGATATAAATTATATATGTGCATTATTGGTTTTGTAGGCTTGGGGCTTTGGGATGTCACAAAAATAGGAGTCTGGTGAAGTCATCTTTGTAATTTTGTGATACAACACACTGAGAAAAATATTCTTATTAGAATATTTCTCATTAGTAAGAGCATATTGTATTGTTACATAATTCTATGTGATGTTTAACAATGAAGCCTCTGCTTGCGTTTTTACAGAAGCTGCAGCATCTCCAGGAGGAGAAAAACAAGGAAATTGAAATTCTCCGAAACACCATAAGAGACTTAGAGCAACGTCTTAATAAAGGCCAAGACATGCACTTCAAACGGAGGCGATTTTGAGTAAATGACATGAAGTATTTCAGTAGTACATACCACGAGAAATAGAAACAGTATATTTCAAACTGTGCACCTGAAAGTAAAAGCAAGATATGAAGAAATATGGAGTATTTTTTATTGAAAACGCTCTTGTCAAATATTCCAAAGGCATGTGTTCTATGTATATTCACGCTACTTTCTTGCTAATCAGCATTCACGATAAAAAGATTCAGGTTTTGTAGGAGTAATAATTTCCCTATTAAACCATCATTAATTATGGTGCACACTTTCAAAGCAGTTTTCCTTTCTTGAATATTCTCTTCTTCACCCAGGAATTCTTTGAACAACTATTTTTACTTCAACTCAGTTAATCAAAGGTTAGGAATGCTAAGCTACAGACAGAGAAGTTATACAAGTTTCAGTGGTGTGTATATATACATCTTACTAGTCAATACAGATTTATCAATTTCAGCACTGTTACAAACAAAGATAAACATTAAACCAAGATTAAATTTGTTCTGCCCCTCCCTCTTTTTGACACTGATACTGATTCTGCATGAAGAGTTGTTAACACTGCTTCTCACTTTAGGCACAATCTTACTGACTTAGTGGGATTTTACAAGCTGTAGTAGTATGTATTAATGGACCCTGATACCGTATCTAAGCCACAAAAGTTAAGCACATAAATCTGTTAGTTTAAAATAATGCAATTACTGCTCGTAGCTTACATTTGAGATAAAAAGTTACTTTGGCACGTTGCTTAGGAATAAGCTTTTCTTGTGCATAATTTGTATCCCTAGTTTAGGAAAAAAAAAAAACCCTAACTTTTGAATATATTCCATGTTCTTAATAAAAAATGATTAAAATATCTGTTTTGGTTATCTTCTATTCTTGATTGCAAAACATCAGACAGGAGCCCCTAGGTCATAGTTTATGCTCTTGTCCTCACAAATGCAAGCAGAATGTTAGAAGAGAAACAAGAAAGACAAATTAATCAAGAATGCAGACACCTTCCCACTGCAACTGAAAAACAAACTATGGGTCAATTAAATTCCTTTAGATTATGAAGCTTTTCATTGATGGAATCTGACGGATATTGTGTAAGTCTAAGAGCACTGCTCCAAAAGTTGACTTCTTTGCAGTATTTAACTCTACACACCTGTCTTAGTATAATTTTTAACTGGGGGCAATAAAAACAATCTGTTAATATTTCCACTCTCGCAACTATATGAATTTAGGTAGTAGGACTCCCTTGCTTTTTTAAGGTGCTTAGTTTGTTTTTCAGGCTCAATTTCTTGCCTTTTCCTGTCACTGTCAGGTGTCTCTAGTTTCACTTGCTGCTGGTGACTGTCAGGCAGCAGTGAGCAGACGTCACTGTCAAGATTCAGTGATGTCCTCTGCTGACAGCTGGCCATGTCAACTGCAAGAATTTGGAAGTGCTCCATGACACTGTCAAGTGACAGAATTTCCTAGCTCTTCGAACAAAAGGTGTCGACAATGACAGCATCAGCTACTAGAAGTTGGGTCTGATGCTGTCTGCCAATTTCAGGTTAATTGGTTTTTACAGCTGGTTTTCCCCTTTTTTCATAGCTTTTTATCTTGTGTAATTTCCACACTTTCTCCTGGAGGAACAGTGTCTACCTGTTCATGGCTATCATCTGTCTGATCACGTCTGTTATGGCCAAAAACTCTATGACGCCGACCGCTGTGAGGATGATGTCTTTGAGTTTCAGAAGGAGCCTGACGGTTCTCATTTTTTGCATGATGACTGCCCTCGCGATGGTGGTGGTGTTGTCTGTGTCTGTGCAGGTTGTGGTGATGTGAAAGCTGACCGGTTGGTTTGGGTTCTACCTCTGCTAGCTTTTCATCTGCTTTTTTAGTCATGTTCTCACATATACCGTCAATCTCAGGTTCCTGCAAACCAGAAGCTCGCATTAAATAGAAGGCATTATATTTAATTAAACTACTTGTAAAATATTAATTATCTTAACATTTTTGCAGAACCTGAAACGCAATTTTAAATTATTTGCACTACTTTGCTGAAGAAAGATATGAATGTATCAAAAAGAACCTTGTTTTACAACACTACTGATAACTAGACAGGGTTCTTAATGTAAACTTTCAGGAATTGTAATTCAAGTAATTGCTAATAAGAAGGAATCTTTTTCTAGGATCCCACATCTGACCTGCCCGAGGCCTACATTTAGCTGGAAAGCTGATGGGATCAAAAATTATTCTTCTCATTGAACTTTCATGACTATGTATGTACATTTCTTGATAAACCTTAAAGTAGTTCTGATCTTTAGTTATATGTAAAACAAAGCTACCCTTCTTTTACAAGGGTAACAATAATTTGTCACCTTGTATTATCACTTTTTTAAAGTAACTATTGTATACTGTGTTTAAATGTAAACTAAAAGGAATAGTAAGTCAAACCAGCTTGGATTTGGTTCCCAGGTTTTAAAAAAAATTACGATTTGTTTAAGTACCTACCCATCCCAAAAAACTAGCGTAGCTAAATGCTCACTAGCTGTACATAACTCCAAAACCAGAATTAGCCTCCAAGATTGCACTTAGATTTCTGCAAATGGTTTGCATTTCTATCAAGGGCAGGAATTCAGATAATCAGTCTATTATAAATTAGATCTAATTCACTTTGAAAAATGTTTAAAAGCTCTCTGTCGAGACACATGAAATGTGTAAATTCTAAATCATGTCTTTTTGGATTAACCACACTGAAATATTTTTTTTTAAGTACCAGTCAAATCCAGTTTCCTTTCCTAGTATATATAGAACAAAACAAGAAAATACCATGTAAGAGCAGTTTCCACACTTGTTTTCACAGTATGCAATCTTAATAGATTCTTCTACATATTGGAAAGACAGGAAGGAATAGGGCAGACCCAGATGATACACCAGACGGCCGCATCTAAGGAGAGAAAGAACTTTGTGGTTACATATACATAAACATATACCTAAAGTTAAATGTCTCTTCTTATCATACCTTATTTTATTCACGTCAATCCATCCACGCTGTACCGTCCCATGGAGAGTGTTTCTGTCCAAGGAGTTGACAGGCAAAAACAGTATCTGCCTTACAAACGTTTGCCCGCTCAACTGCATCGGTCAGTAGTGTGAAGCAAGATCTCTGGCTGACGTAGTAACTCTACTGGCAGAAGCCTCTAGTTCAGAGTCATTTAGACTAGCAAAGGTACACTCATTACAGACCCATCTTGCTAATGAGGAGGGCTGTTTGCATAGTGGTACAAATCGCCACACAGTTGTTGCATCCTTACAAAGAATGTTTTTATGCAACATAAGATGTATTTTGATTGGCACGTGCGTTGCGGTGCATCCGCATTACTGATTTAGTGTGCCTGAGGGGATTTTTATGGTGCCGATTTGCCCCCTGTCTGTACTTGAGTGTTCTGGTATGCACTTGACGACACAGCTGGTACATTCAAAGGAGCTGGAGTAAAGGCAGAACTTGTACACAAGGGCACCTTGTTAAGTACCCCACCTGCAATGTCAACACACGGTCCTCCAGCCTTAGCTCCCTGCACGTCTGCAGCGCACGTCTAGGACCAGCAACAGGCAAAGACTTCATTGCCAATAAAGGCACAATAAGGACATACGTTCCTAGGACCATAATGGACCAAACTACTGCCAAACCAATTCGTAGTGCAGGTGTATCCTATGTATCCAAACCACAGAAAGAACTGTTCAACCTTTCGAATGCCATGGGCCGGGCGTCAGCTTTGGGGCCCTCCAAGGACGACACACAGCCTTGCTCTGTTTGTCTGTCATATGACAGCAACCTTCCATACTCGGGCGTATTTGCTGCTGAAACAGGCGATCACTTTATAAAGATCATTCCAGTGCTAGTTTCATCCCACAAGCCTGATTTAGCTAATTCATTCAATTTCATCATATTACCAAAAAAAAGTTAAGTAACTTTCTAATTCTTTATTAAATTTAATTATGCTTCAGCGCAGGTGTATCCTATGTGTCGACACCACAGAACTGTTCAACCTTTCGAATGCCGTGGGCCGGGCATCAGCTTTGGGGCCCTCCAAGGACGACACACAGCCTTGCTCTGTTTGTCTGTCATATGACAGCAACCTTCCATACTCGGGCGTATTTGCTGCTGTAACAGGCGATCACTTTCTAAAGATCATTCCAGTGCTAGTTTCATCCCACAAGCCTGATTTAGCTAATTCATTCAATTTCATCATATTACCAAAAAAAAGTTAAGTAACTTTCTAATTCTTTATTAAATTTAATTATGCTTCAGCATGAACTGAGAATGTTTGTTACAGCAACATAATAGTAATTAGGATGGACAAGTTATAAGTGCAGGACTTGTCAAATTTCCATTGCATCAAAACTGAAAATTCAGGATTTCAACTAAAGAGTTAGTACTGGTTCTGCCAAAAGATACATGTCCCAGAATCCTATGATCAAAAAGCTATTTTATTCCAAAGTTTTAAGTTTCACCTAAAGATTATTTTTTCCATATGGCTACATGACATTTTCAACAACTCCAGTCAAAATGTTTTCATGAGAACTCAGACAGCTTTTCTCATTTGATTCTACTTTCACATGCATGGATGTAATGAAGTTGTCTGAAAATAAAAACAGTGTAAGACCAGAATCATGTTATCAAATTCTACACCCGGTTATATTAATCTAAATCCACAGTAGTTATAAAGAAAAATTTATTTATCCCGAACTTACTTAAGCAAAAGCAGACTTTTTTTTTGTAGCTTCCTTTTTCCAGTACATGCAAGTGCTTTACTTAGTGCAACTTAGAAGTTGATTATGGTGTCTTTGTTGTGAGGTAATCCGGCTATTTGCAAACCAATGAAATAATACTGAGATTTACAAAGCATTACTCTAAATACATCCAAATATTTTCCTGTGTGTCCCTCTAAACACAGACCTGTCATAGATGAGAAAGTCATCTTTGTTTCCATTTAAGGTAGTCCAGACATCAGCTTGCTGTTCGTCTTGCTGGTAGACAGTAATATAGTCTGAAACACTTTCTTTCAGGAGGTGAAATTTCCTCTGGGAGTAAGTTCCCTGATGGTTGACAACCACATACGAGATATTGACCAGTCCTTCATTCTCTAACTTCACTCGCAGGTCCTCCAGTCTAGTGGAGAATGTAAAGAAGCAAGACCATCAATCATGAGAGAATCATAAGATTTGCCACGTTCAACAAAAGTTAATATGCTCCATCTCGCTTTTATTACAGTGAATGTTATTCTCTCCCAGTTTTAATGGCAGCAGTCTAGCACTATTAAAACATTCTTGCTATTTGCCATGACT